TGGTATACAGTACAGTGTTTCCCCTACGATGGAGTCATAGCAGCGGTGCTAAGGCACGTGGGCCCAGCATAATGTGAGCGCGGAGCGCGTGGAATTTTTTAGTGTGTGCGCGTTCGAAGTGCGCCCCGCCAATTTGTTTCTATGTGTCTGCCAGCACAAGAAAGGCTTTTGAGGTCTAGTACCAGGGCCGGTTCTAGCCAATTTGCTGCCCTAGATAAGATTTTAGGCGAGATTTTTTATATTTAAAGAATAAATGAAAAATCTCTACAAAATACAAATACATTACAAAAACAGAAACTTATTGACATGGGTAATAGACGTCAAAATAGCTTCAAATGTATTCAGTATTGTATGAACATGTTTGAATTGGGGGGTGGACGTGATATCCTCTAGGGGGGTCCGGGGGTATGCCCCCCGGGGAAGATCTTTTTGAACATTTTAAAGTAAAATGCTTCAATCTGGTGCACTTTGAGCACACAATTACTATAGACCTGGGGCCGTATTCACAAAGCATTTTATCTTACCGCTAGGAGTGCTCCTAACTCGCGCTAAAACATTTTACGTAGGAGTTTTTTCTTAAAAGTTATTCACAAAGCCGCTGAGACCTACTCATACTAAAGGTCTCAGCGGCTTTGTGAATAACTTTTAAGAAAAAACTCCTACGTAAAATGTTTTAGCGCGAGTTAGGAGCACTCCTAGCGGTAAGANCGTTTCTTGTAGCCCTCGAAAGGGTTTTGTCGGTGAACGCGGAGTTGTTTGGCTTTCTTGTCCGCAGCAGCAGAAAGCATTTTCGACTGTTTGAATGAATCAAAGTGGGTCGTCACCCTCGATTTTCTCTAAGACTTATGCTCCAACACACAGTTGCACGGGGTGCAGAATAGTTTCCCCCCACTTTCGTGAAAGACATCGGGGTACTGCTTTGCCCGGTCTTTAGCAGAAATGTTCGTCGTGTGAATTCCACACGTTCACTCAACGGTGTTGTTTACCTTCTGTGATGCGCGAGCTGATGACGTCGCGTGATCATCATCATTACTTCACTTCAAGACGAGTTAACTTTTTTTTTTTCAACTTTGTGTGGAAAAATGCGGGGATTATGCGGCCTTTTGATAAATATGCGGCCTTTTAAAAATCTGCGCCATTTTGCTGATTATGCGGTAAATTCTGCGATTGCAGAATCGCGTTTTTCTGGAGGGTCTATTTTATCAATGGTTCTGAAGAGTGTTTTCACCATTGGCTGGTATTTACTATCGTCTTTTTTGCAGTGGGAAATGTGACATTGAGAGAAGACGACAGAGTAAGGAGGAGGATGACGGAGAGGACACGGGCTCATCCAGTCAGGAGTTTGAAGATATAGGGTTGAGAGAAGAAAAGGCCTTTTCAGATTCTGAAATCAAGGTATACATTATTTAACATGCGTGTAGTGACATCTTTAACTAAAAGTATAGAAACAGATTTAGATTCAGTTAACTAATCCTCTTGTTCATGTTCGCAGGTGGTGCAAAAACGTGAGGAGCGAGGGAAGGTGTCGTCTATTAGAATTCGGAAAACTTTACCCAAACCTCAGAATAACCTGACCCCAATGGGCCTGCCCAAAGCCATCAGGTAAATACTCAAACACATGGAAGTTCACTCTAGACCTTGGGAACAGTATGTGATACAAATGACCCTAAACCCCACACAATGTTTACATACTCACTGATTTTGGTATTTAAAAGGCATCTCACTGCCTTCATCAGCAAATGGAGCTGACTCGGCTGTCATTGGTGTTATTTCATCGGGGTTTTGTACAACCAGCTTTAAAAAGTCAAGCAAAAGTCACTCTGCCTTTCCATTGGGTGAGCGTTTGAAAGTAGGTCAAATGCTATGAGGTCACTCTGCTATGCCATTGAAAATTAATTTATGTCAATACATGTCTGTTGTTTATTGAACACTTTGATCAATATTCAGACTGATTGCTATGTTTGTTTTTCTTCTTTGTCACATCACAGGCTGAAAAAGAAGGAGTTTAGTTTGGAAGAAATTTACACCAATAAGAATTTCAGCAAACCTCCTGACGGGTAAGATCAGTTACAGCACCGACTGTAATCGCACGTTAAATGATTAATATAAACACACACACAAAATATGTCATTTAAAACTTTTTTTTGTAGTCTTCAAGATGCAAATGTATGAAGGGCTTAGTTGAAGCATTGCTGTGAACACTTATATGTATTATTAGAAAATGTCTTCATATTTAAACTTCTAGTGCTCAGCGCCACTCAAACCATATTTAAAGGGTTTGTTTCATATAAAATATAAGAAGATCTTTAGTTATTATGATTGTTTATGATTGCCCCTGCATATCAAGCAGGCCTCCACAATGTCTGCTTTTAAAGCGCTTCTTAACACCCACCTCTTCTCCTTAGCGTATTCACATATTTTAGAGTGTTGCTTTTAAATTGTCTATTGTTTTTACTTGTACTTGTTTTATGGTGTGTGTGCTGAGTGATTGTTGTATGTTTGTTTATTTGACTGTACAGCACTTTGGTCTGGAGGTTTTAAAGTGCTTTATAAATAAAGCTGTATTGTTTAGATTTATCAACAGATTATGTTCAAATTTAAGAATTTAAAATCAAGCATGGTTCAAATCAGGAATAATCTTTACCTTTTTTAAAGATAACTCAGCATTTTCCAAACCTTCAAAAGCAGCTGTCAGCAGGACCTTGTCCACATTGAATTATAGGAATGGTTTAAGTGTACTTTTATTTTGTCACCTTTCCCTGTGAACACACCCAAAACCTGTTAGTATGCAGAGTGGATTTGTACACAGCTAGTAAGGCAAGGTTTGACCACAGGGTGGCACCAGAGGAATCACTCTTCACTCAAATCAGTTCCCAGTTATGTGAAACACAATAACTTCTCCTTAACAACTTGTTACATTCCCTTAACTTCCTCAACTCACTTATTAATAAGACTTTCTAACTCTGGTTTCAGCCGGCTGGAGACCATTCTCGAAGTGCCTCTCAATCGCAAAAATGGCTCAGAGTCTTGGTTCGGCCAGAGGCGAGTCAAACGTTTTATGGAATTCTTGGATGCCGGCGAGGTCCGAAGACCGAAGAAGCCCCTTGTTGGTGTCGGAAAGTCAGGAAATTCATCTTCCAGGAAGAGGCGAGGGGCCTTTGCTAGAGACGAGCCACCACTCAGCGTGCAGGACTCAGACTCCCTCCTCTGTGCCAAGCTCCATCAGCTGAACCTGTGGTTGATCCATGATCAGAACGACAGTTGACAGCTGCCTCTGAAAAGGCTAAATCACTGCAAGAGATCATTCTGTTAATATGAATATTCCAAATGCATTTCCAACATGAAGATTCACATGTGAATTGTTCTGCTCTTTTGTTGCCAGCACATATGAATGTTTTTGTGAAGTAATTAAAAAAAAAAAATAATGTTCTGTATTCTATATGTAGCCCTGCGAGAAGAACAATACATCATAGCACCAGAAATGTGTTGCCTCATAGAAGTTGGTTATAAACATGGTGGTAATCGCATTATACATGGCATGTTTGTCATTAATGCACTTAAACCTTGGCCGTCCATTTTCCCCCCGACAGCTTTCCATCTGTGACGAGTGAAACTGTCCATAAACAAATGTTGCCAGCCTTAAATTAAAAACTTATACAATATAATACCGTTTTCAGTATAGCTTACTTTTTCTTTCAGACCCAAAGTTGCAAATCTGTACAACCTCCCTGGGTAAGTCATGACACCGTTTTGTTACACTGCCCGTTTTCTTTTCTAAAAATGCAAATACAGTATGCATCTGATTTATTTTGCATTGTTGTGTTTGAGAGAAAAGCATTGTAACAACATATTGGTACTCCTTACCTGACTTTCAGCTTTATTGCAAGTGTGTCCATAAAGGCAGCTATTCTTTACTGATGCTGAATGTAACTTTAAAACATGCCAGCAAGAGATTTGTATTGGCTGTGGCCAATCCCACAACCAGTGTGTAGTCATGGCTGTCTGCAAGCGACATGTGTTAATCATTCTACTTTGTAATGTTCTTAGCAATATGTATCAAGTGTGTTTGTACATTCATGGCATAACAGGGTTTTTCTTGTATAAAATATAGCTCCCTTTAGAGAGCACTTTTAGTCAACAGTGGAGGTGTTGAAATTCCACTGCTGGCTTTATTACGTCCTGTTCTCTGGATTGATTTATGGTGTTGAAATGTGTATTGGAAAAGTAACTTCTTTATCTTTGTGTGTATGTTCTTGTTGTTGCCTAACTGTAAGACGTTCTCTTTTTATGGTGTTTTGTAGGTTTATTTGTTGTCATTTAAATGAGGAACTTTCAAGCAACTCTTAGCACAAGGTTTTTATTATGAAATATTTCTTTTTATATACATGTATAAAAGTAAAACATATTGACATTAATAAAAGTATTACGGTAACAATAAGATCATGCTTGCAACAAGCGCAGGGTCTTGTTCTGATGTAGCGCTGCCATGCCATTTTATTTTCTGCAAGGACCCCATCCTTGATGAACGAGTCCCTGTTCTCCACCTTTTTAGATTCACAGATTTAAGTAATGTATTAACTTCTGGAGTATCTGCAAGTGTATACGGTATCTAAGAATGATGTTATTGTAATGGCATTTAAGGGAATGACATTTTCTTATCTTTAACATATAATGTGTCATGTAGTGCCATGTCTCAAGTGAATTTGATATGGTCATTTAGATTTAGAATTTTCCAAATGTTCTCATTGTTAAATAAATATTACAGTATGTAAAAGTTGTAATGCTTTTGGTACTGTTTGTAAGTGTTGCGTAAAAAATATTATAAAAGGTTGAGAAGTAAAAAAAAAAAGAAAGTGTAATCTGGGACACTTCGTCAGCACAAGAAAGACTAAAGCTGCCTTTTTGTGTAACCAGTTTCCTCATATCTTCATGGATGATGTTTGTACTGTCCACTGTCTGTCAACATCCAAAGTCACTCTTATGGTTGTCTTCTGTAGAGGCCTATCAGAGTTTGTCATTCTATCAGCGTCAGGATGTATGAGATGAAGGCCATCAGTATGGGAATTGAAACCAGAATGGCAAACCATACCACGATGGAGATGATGCCAAATTTCCTTGCCCTTTTTAAGAAATTATTTCTCTCTTGGCCTGTAGTATTCTCAGCCTGTTGAAGTAAGGACAATTACATTGAATGTAGTGTTATATCAGAAAACAGTCAAAGAAAACTAGGGGTGCACAAGGCTAAATATCGTATCTACCAATGTTAATGTGTCTGCTCTGTGATTCGAGTCCTAATCCAAAATGTAAATGGATCTGCCACCAAGTTACTTGAAAATCTAGCCAGTAGTTTTTCTGTTATCTGCTAGCCAAACTGAGAGGTCAAATATGGACTCGGATGTAATATGCATTTATCTAGTTTTTAAGTTAGTCTAGTTTTTGGATTTAAAAAGACAATATTCAACCTCACAGCTGTTTGTGTTAAAAAGTAATTTAAAACAATTTGAAGTTTCTTTCTGACCTCCTGATCTTAACATAAAGGGACCTATCATGCAAAATGCACTTTTTGATGTCTTTTATACATAAATATGTGTCCCCGGTGTGCCAGGGAACTCACGCAGCGTCAAAAAATAAAACTCTCTCTTTTCCTCCGTACCCAAATCTCTAAAAACGGGGGTACAACGGAGCTGATCCAGATTTGCATCCGATGTGACGTAATATCAGAAATGTGGTCCCACGGCACTATCAGAACGTTTTTATCAATTTTTCTTTTTGAAAAAAAGCTTTATATCCAAATTCAGCACTTTTGAAATAGAGGGATATGAGGCATGACTAGAATGGGTGATCCGTTTGGTATTTTGAGCAAAACACTTCATAGACATGTTTTTGATATATCTGAGACTTATGCTATTGCCTAAAAATAGCATGATAGGTGCACTTTAAACCCAGTGGGTAGAAAAGTCTTCAAGAGGTCACCTTTCCTCTGTCACAAAGGTGGCTTTCACATTTTAATTAGGTTAGTTAGTTTGTGATGGCATTTAAAATTCGTTCCTGCTGATTAGAGCATTCAGCAGCAATGTGAAATGACGTTCAAAGAAGTTGAAATACCTTGACTGAATTGATCAGAGCCGTGATTCCGATGCAGGAGAGTCCACAGATGATGCTGCAGATAGCGAGTATCCTGTGGTTCCTGTCCTCGCAGCAGGAGGCGGCAGCACACCTCTCAGAGATGCTGATCACTGTAGTGCCCCCAGTCCGTGGGATGGTGTTCAGCGGGACCTCTTCCATTTTAATTTCACTCGTCTCCTGAGATTTGGGCATTTCTGCAAACTACAGAGCATATAAGAAAGGGTCAATTAATAATTAATAAAACAAAAAAGAAAACGTTTTGAGGAAGCAATATGCAAATGACATCTGAAAAGCAAAGAACCATTTTAGGATTTGTCTAAGTGGTGGATTTATACTTTTAAGTTTGTTAAGAGTTGCAAAAAAACATTGTTTTGAAGATAAAAGGACATGCGAGGAACTGATGTCACTGTTGTCTAAGGGCAAGCACAGCCTAGGTAAATGCTTATATTTTAACTTTTTCTTTTAGGAATGTTGGTCAGATACAATGGGACATCATTCCACTGAGTGCACATATTGTATTCAATCTTGTATGTTTAATTTATGATCCTGTTTCCAATCTGAACCTAATCACTTTTCTACTGACTTCAAAGGCATAATGCTGGCTACTCCCTTCATTATTAAACTTGAAAAACAGTGCAGAACACTGCCTGCATTCAGCCCTATTTTTTTAAGTCTGCACATGATAAAACCCTCAAAGAGAATGATAGATTTGATCAAATGTACGTATATTTTAAATGTCCCTTAATAATTAGACTCACTGACTCTCTGGAGATAAAAATAACAAAGGGATAGGGAAGTTATTGTTCAATTTTGAACAGGGTCAACTTCACAAACATATTCTTGATTTTTGTTGAATTGAACTCATTTGGTAGTGTCGATATCTCTATGTCTATATACTGTATGTATACATATCGAAATATGTTTTCCTTTTGTCTTATGTTGCACTTGATTTAAAGACACAGAGAAACAACAGGAAGTAAATGCTTTTCCTATTGATTTTTTCCTTTGTCTTTATACTAATTGGTTGGGTTTGTGTTTTCTTATGTGTTTTTGTATGTACTTTGAAGTTTACTTTTTAGATCAACCTCCTCTTAAACTTGGTATGTTTTTTGACAACAAATGATAACAAAGCCACAATCAGTTCAGGTATTATTCAACCTGGCCCAAGGGAACATCAGTTGTTTCAAAGGGTTTGAACATGATCTCCTTGAGAGAAATATCGCTACTTTCCTTAACTGATGGCCAAACTGGCGCATGCTGCTGGGTTGATTATTGCTAAAAGAACGTTTTCCTAAGTTGCCCTTGTGTCCTGTGTTCACCTCGTTTGATGCGTGAGCAGTTTGGGCTACACTACTCTGAACCACAATACCAGAAGTTTAAAGAATTTAAAATAACTAGTGCCTAGTCAAGTCTAAACATGTCCTTAAAACATATTCACAAAGTTTGTTTTTTGTTGAGCATAGGTATTTCCCTGAGCAGGTTATTTCCAACATGAAACCAAAAGTATCCTTTGAATGGTTCAACATGGGGCACAGTGTTCCCTTTTAACAACAAAAAAACTTGAAAAACTTGTATGATCACACTTTAGGAAAATAATGAAACCTCCTGCTTGGCAAATTTTCATGGGAGCATAACATGTAGGTTATCTAATCTAAGATTTGATCAAAGCGTGGTGCACAGAGTACCAGCACACTCGGCGTGTTTGTCATGTACGAAGAATGCAGTAGCAGAGAGTTGGACTGGGTTAATAATAGTTCTCTCATGTAATGATGCACACGCCTGTGAATCATTTGTAATGAGAAACGTAATATTTCCTGTCAGTGCTGATTACGAAACGTTGGTGAGAAAGATAAAGATTTCTATTATGTAAAACCAAATCTTGCAGGTGTTTCTTGAGTATAGTGAAAAGAAAATTAAAACGACAGACAGGAATACATTGTTAAACACAATAATTCACCCAGGTCTCTCTTGTAAAACAGATTTCAATAACTCAATGAATAAATTGTTACGTTAGAGTACATACCTGATCCAATCTAAAATGCAATGCTCCTCAGTCTGTCCTGTGTATCCAGATTTATATGAAAATCTTAATGAAGTAGCAGGCAGGTGTTTTATCTTCTTTTGCCTTTAACAGTATTCCAGTTTAAGGTGACAGCTGCCAAATGAAGTGTCTTTCTTCCTTTATATATGAACGGATGGGTTAAGATTTCCACGAGTGGTCATCCAGACACAATAACTGTCAATGTAGTGGGAATTCAAAAAACAAACAGCTTCAAGGCCCGTCCCTACTGTGAAAGCCCTGAGCCATATAAGTTGTTGAGAGAGAGCTGGGAGCGAAACTCTTGTGAGAAACTTCCACGCCCATTTACTGTGGAGGCACTTCCCTTCTTCTCTTTCTTGCCACACATAGGCTACTTGTCAACCCTTCGATCATCCAGTTACATTAGTGCTCATATCCTGTTATCTGTCATCGAAGCTTAGGCTTCCTCTTTCTTTCGTTAGTCACAGTTTTACTACACTGCACAGTCCCCCCACTTCTTTCCCATGCAGCATACCAGAGGTCTTGGGAAAGGTGTGTCAGCACTTGCCTTGCCTGAGGGTGAAACAGCCACAGGTTCCAACCTGCCTCATTGTTTTTCTAAGATTATCTTGGAAGAGTATCGGACATTGTGACTTTGAACAACACCTTATCTCAACTTGAAACATATACTCTTTGCTTTGGTTCCGAGGGTCGAACAGGTTTCTTCTTGGCCATGATATATTTGTTCGCATGCCTCCATCTGCTTTATGACCCAGAGATAAGAAATATTTACTTCCACTTTGCTCAGCGATAGACAATTTCCTGACTGCATTTTTCCACAGCTGATACCACCCTCTGTATACCCTATCAGACCGCCGAATCTTTCCTCACCGAGAAAATAAAGTAATATGGGAGGAATATGATGTGTCACCTCCTCCTATTGTTGTGGCTCAGACGTGTTGACTGCATCATATACTAAGTATTAATCATCATGTCCGATGAATTCCTCCCTGTTACCAGACAGCACAACAATGGGAAGTAACGCCAATGGAGCCACATGTTAAAATGATAGTTATAAATCTGCTTTTCAAACTCTGGATACATAAGAAACGTGAGTGAAGTTGAAACTAGTTAGAATCAATGTTTGGATGTCTCTAAATATAGCAACAACAAACCAGGCTTTTTCTCACATCAGAATTAGTGGTATGAAAAAAGAAACATAAATCAAAGGTTAACGGGCCTACTGGGCACCGGCCCAGGGGCCCAATAGGTCAGGGGTCCTTACTTACAAAACCAGGCTGAAAAGAAAAATACTAAATGATCACAAACATTCACAAAACAACTAGAAACAACCCAGAATTGGCTAAGGGGATGTAAAATGACCACAAAGACAAGCAAAATGATTTAAAACAGATTCAAAAGAGCACAGAGATTCAAAATGACCAAAATAGATGCAAACAAGATTTCAAATGATGAGGTTTAAAATTACTGCATTTACTTTCTGTTGGGGAATTTTTTTTTTCCAAGGCCCATAACTTTGATCCAGTTCATCAGTTTTAAACTGTCCTGACTGAGCACACGCACCTGTAACCTTGACTACTGTGCTCTCAGTGTTTTGTCTCCCTGTTCCTG